TTTCCTCGAAATCTACGTATGTCACCGCGGATGGACGGGACAAGGCGGTACTTCCACGACACCAGGGAAACAAGCGAGGTCAAGCATGGTTATACCTGTATACAGTACCAGTAAAGGTGAATATTTTGAGGTTGCCCGAACAATTTTTGGGACTTCGCATTCGAACGTTTTAAGTCACAGCCATGATGCCCAATTATTAAAGCATAAACAAGCAACAGTTCAAGATTCGTCAATTACATCTTAAGTTTAATTCATTGATATCGCCACACGCAAAAAGAGTGAGCAAGTGTCATCGACTTTCTTGGCGGGACTAATCGCAGTACAAATATGCAATGTATGTAGCAAATGAATTTTAATAAATGGCCAATAAAACAACGAACGCATGTTTAGTGATCTGAGAGCTTTCCAAGACGGTAAAACAAATGACGACGAGCAAGAAAAGTTCGCTTGATACTGTGAAATGCAATGAACTGTTGGACAACCTAAAGTACTTCCCCCATCTGAGACATACGGAGAAAACTTCATCCAGCTCATTAACACAACTTCTAAGGCACCACTGCTACTCCGGCAGATACTGAATATACACTGGAAAAATAGGTATTTCATCAAAAGCGACCACAGCCGATATGGGTTCCGCCAAAAATGCCATCTTTTTACTTTAACCATGATTTTAGTAAACAGTGCAGGAAATATATGAGCAGCGGTAATTACGAGCATGATAAACGCATAACATTAGGAATCACAATGGCTAATATCTTATTTGTACACATTGTAATTAATAATTTCAAAAACACATGAACAACGAGTAGAATGGATGATTGAGTACTGAAAGACGACAAATTACCTTTTAAGTAATCACAAGTCAACTTTCACAAAACAGTATATAACTACCATTAGAGTAGCTCTTAAGCGGACAGGAAAGGTATGCTTACCCCGCCTGTGTTGTTCATGTTGTCTGGGTCTATTAGCATCCTCAGCATATAACCCAAGAGGAAGGCATCACTAAGTTCTACGAGAGGTTAAAGATTGCGAAATAAGAATTACCTGGGTCGGAATCATTAAGTAGTTGTGTGATCATCAGATTTATGAGAATACGATTGTCATCGGATAGATGATTGTTGTCTTTATATACATACTCCCGGACGACGGACGGCTGATTCTCAACGAACGCATGCAATATTTCGAGTGCTGCTGCCTTCACATCCCGATCGTCGAACATCAACAACACTTCAACGGTAGACAAGGCGCCATGAGAAAAAAGACAATTAAGGAAGTTGTCCTTTTGGTCTGTCTGCACGGACAAGTTACAGAACTCCTTCACGAAAAGAGCCAATTCTCGCCGGTAAGTTTCGGACGTTGAAGGAGACTTCAACCGATTGAAAAGTTGAAGCATAAATTCCTCGTCATCTTGAAGAGCGCTGATAATTTCGATCTTATTCAGTGTAATGAAGGATTTAAGGACGTGCATGGTTTGATCGTCAAAAAGACAGGGTGGAGGCAAACAACAGTCCTGTATGTACTGGACACGGTACGTCTGGTGTATCTTATTGACTAGTTCCGTGTTGTGTAATGGTAGAACTTCCTTGAATTTCGCTTGGTTCTTCAAAAATTCACGATGGCGAGTGCGCCCGGAAGGACTATATTCAAGGATTCCAACCACTTCCATAATCAATTCGTCCGAAAACAAAATCTCGTAGAGGTTTTGCTTGTTA